GACCCCAAAAGCAGGGATATAAGTTGTGTCCAAATGGGTTCTGAATTCTACAGACTCATCAGTTTGAGGCAATGAATCATTAGAAACCACTTTTGTCCCCTTTGGGAGAATGACATGTGTTCAATATTTATGTAGTTTATTCTTCTATACATACATACGCAAAGCTTTCCTTAACAGTAAAGAGTACATATGCATAGTGGGAGGAGATAAGACCTTTACCGGTAAAGGAAAGCAACTTTAGAAATGAATTATTTTCTTTGCTTTATTATTTTTACCGAGACAGAGAAGTATTGTATTGAAAGATATCTATTTTCATAATCAATATGTGCCTAAATTATATTTCAGTCATTTCACTCTGAACTATATTTTCAATAATTATAGAATGTGTTGTTCATTTACTTAAAGGTACCTCTGTAGTAATAACCTCAAATTGCTGAAAGATCTAGCAGATCTGTATATGGTGTGCTTAGAAACTGAAAATTTGGAATCTAACGTACATTGCATTAATAAATGATATGAAATATTAACAAGGAAAAAAAAAAAAAAGTCACTGACAGGGTATTGACTTCTTGCAGAATAGAACTACAAGGTAGTTAAGATGCAAGACATCTCCAGGAACCTCATCAAGACACAAATACCCATGGATAGTCATATTGTGCTGATACTGACATGGCTCAGCCACATGTAAGATGTAGCCAGCGACAGACTTCCCTCATGGTTTCTGCTTACCCAAAACTTCAGTCTGTACATGGACTCTTTGGTCCCTTCTATCTTTTAGCTTCAGCTCTGGATATAAAGTGAAAATTCTCTTCATTATCTCTTTCTTCTGAATCCTAAGAGAAAATCTGATCAGCACTACATCTCCTTTTAAGACATCGCTAGACAGACCATTTGGTCAGACACCTACCCTTATCTAGTTAGTGTGGGCTCGGGTATAGAATTAAATACTGGTATCCCTGATGGTTAACATGCTTGGCTGCTAACCAAAACGTCAGACATTCAAATCTACTGAGAGGCACTCAGAAGGAAGGCCTGGTGATCTACTTCCAAAAAAAATCAGCCTACACAGCAGAGTTCCGGTAAGATGGTGGACTAGGCAGAAAGACTGCACAGACTCTCTTCAACAAAGAAAAGGGGAACCAACTAACACAGATACAGAAGACAATCCTGGACCCTTGAGCTTTGAATGGAAGGATATAGAAGTGGACTAAACTCCAACTAGCAAAAGAATTTGCATGAAAACACCAAAAAAGGAGACATACGGAGCTGCAGTCTGGCAGTGATCCTGATGGCACAGACAGCTTGGATATTGCCAAGTAGCGTTAGAACCTAAGAATTAACCTAAAAATCAGTCCTGCTAGCCAGGGACAGCATGGAGTGCTTCTCTGGTGGCTGGTGAATAAAAGGGGAAGAAGCGAAGAGGAAGGTGGGCTGAGCTGTGGACTTTTGCCTGTCTGGAGGACGCAGCCATTTTGAACATTTACAAGCAGTTCGACCATTGTGGATATTTAAAGTGACAGCATTCTCTCACATTCCAGGGACTTAAGAATAAGCTCCACTTGCTAGAAACCGCAAGGACATTCCAGACACCAACAACTGAAAAGGTGCAATATTCCCCTTGTTACTCTTACCCCACACCCTCTTGGTGAATGGAAGTGCGGCCAACCCTCACTGCCATCTTCTTGGCTGGCAGGAATTCCGTCCCAGTCTGTGTGCTCAGACAGAGCCTGGGTGCCCTGCCCTGCCCTGATTTTTTTTCTTTTTTTCAGTTTTTTTTCTTTTTGTCTGTTTTAAAACTACTATTATTATTATTACTTTTGTGCTTTTCATTATTAATCTTTATTCTTCCCTTCCCAGGTTCTAGTATTCAGCTTTTTCTCTTTTCCCTGTTCCTGGTTCCATTTTTTTTTCCCCCTTTCTCATGGTTAACCCCGTTCCTTGTTTTTCTTTTTGCATTTTTTCCAGTTTTTCTTCATTATTCTCCTTCTCTACCTTTTTTCCCTTATTGCTCTCTCCCCAGGTATTGTGGTGGTTTTTTTCCCTTTTTCTTTTTTTGGTTTTTATTTGTGTGTGATTATACAGTGTGTTTTTTGTCCATGTGCTTTTACTTTTTTGATGGTACTCAATTGTTATTTTTGTCTAACTGAATGGCAGACAGCAACAGTCCCCATATGACACAACTACACCCACACCTCCTACAGCTTCACTTACTGAGTGAGAGCCACCACTTCCTTCTCCACCAATGGCCAACAATAAACAACCACCAAGAAGAGCCTGACTCACCCTTAGCTGCTCTTCACAAACAGTTAACAAAGATCTAAATACAATAATGTCACAATGTCTAAGAGACAACAGATCATCACAGCCTACACAAAGAAGCAAGATAAAGTGGTAGAAACAAGGGAGCAGGATACAGACTCAGAACACATCCCTGAGGAAGAAGCAGCACTGGAACTCCCTGATAAGGAATTCAAAAGAATTATATTTAGGTATCTTCAAAGGACTGAGAGACAGATCAAGGAAAACACAGACAAAACCCTAGAAGAATTCTGGAAGA